GAAGCTGTGCGCCGCAGTGGTTGGGGGCTGTTTCTCAGCATGACCACATTGGAGCGGCTACCAGGAGCCGAGGAGGAGGAGGAAGAGGAGGAGGGAGATGAGGAAGGGGGATGAAGCCAGGCTGAAGGGGGCGGGGCAAGCATGGGTGGCTGCCTCCATGCATGCGGAGCACCAGCTGTATTCTGAACCCCATGGCTCCAATGGGAACCGCTGCGGGGAACTGGGCGGGAGGGCCAGGGCTGAGGAGGGGCCGTGTAGCCTTGGTTGAAGGCTTCAGCTGGAATGCCTGTGAGCGCCATATTGCTGAATCCCAGACGCATACTTTCAGAGTCGAAGGCTTCGATCTCCCGGGCCTGGCGCTCCAAGAGGCTGCGGATGCGATCGGAGCGTTCATTCTGCAAGGCCAACATCTCCTCTTCGATCTGGGGAAGGAAAGATGAAAAAAATGCATTGTGACTTCAAGTGCAAGAATCCACAAACACACTTGGCTTGGATACCAGAGCAGCGGTGAGAAGCAGCCCTTTTGTTTCACTTGGTAGCCAACAAAGATACATTACAGGTAGTCTTCAATTTATAACCATTCCTTTAGTGACTATTACAGCACGTCTGACAAGGGATGTGGAGATACAGGGGCTAAGACACTGAGCTTGCTGATCAGAAAGGTTGGCAGTTCGGCAGTTCGAATCCTTAGTGTCGCGTAATGGAGTGAGCTCCCATTGCTTGCTCCACCTTCTGCCAACCTAGCAGTTCAAAAGGACATAAAAATACAAGTAGAAAAATAGGAACCACCTTTGGTGGGAAGATAACAACACTCTGTGCAACTTCGGCATTTAGTCATGCTGGCTACATGACCATGGAGACATCTTCGGACAACACTGGCTCTTTGGCTTTGAAACAGAGATGAGCACCGCCCCCTAGAATTGGGAACAGCTAGCACATATATGCAAGGGGAACCTTTACTTTACAACAGATCTGAAAAAAGTGACCTATGATTGGTTTTCACACTTAACGACTGTTGCAGCATCCCCATAGTCATGTGATCAAAATTTGGGCACTTGGCAACTGGCTTGTATTTATGACAGTTGCACTGTCCTGGAGTCATATAATCACCATTTGTAACCTTCCTAGCCGGCTTCCAACAAAGCTATTGGGAGAAGCAGGGTTCGCTTAATAGCAGTAGCAATAGCACTTAGACTTATATACCGCTTTATAGGCCTCTCTAAGCGGTTCACAGAGTCAGCATGTTGCCCCCAACAATTTGGGTCCTCATTTTACCCACCTCGGAAGAATGGAAGGCTGAATAAACTTTGAGTCTGGTGAGATTCGATCTGCTAAATTGCAGGCAGCTGGCAGTCAGCAGAAACAGTTTGCAGTACTGCACTCTAACCACTGCACCAATGTGGCTCATATGACTGCATTTCACTTAACAACTGCAACAATTCACTTAATAATTGTGGGGAAAAAAATTCGTAAAATGGGGCAAAATTCACTTAAATCTGCTTTGCTTAGCAACAAAAATTTGGCCTTGATTGTTATAAGTCGAGCACTACCTGTGCCCAGATTTGGATTCAGTAACAACCCTCTTTAAGATATACATGAAGTTGGGTGAATTACTTAAACGATGATTTGAGACCCAGCACTCAACACGTCTGCCCTAAATTAGAGATAACAGAGATTCTGTGTCTCCAAAAGTGGCACATAGGATAGGGCATATTTCAACACCTGTACTCATATCCTCACTGTTTCAATCAGATGCGTGCAACTTCATAGCTGAACCTAAAGAACCACGAAAGATAAAGGGGACAGAACTTTTAGCTCAGATTAATTAAAAAAAAACCTCTTAATATAAAAAATCCACTTTAGAACAAAGCAACCCAATTTGTAATAGATTTTGAAAGTTTCTTAGGAATGCAAATTCCGCAGGAATTGAGGAATTAAAAATGAAATAATTGCTTTTGTCATGCTAGAGACTCAGGTGCATCACAGTCTGATCCCATGAGAATACATTTATAAAAGACAGGAGGAGCGTGTGATTGGAGCGCCCTGAATAATGCTTATTTTTCTATGTTAAAAAAAGGAACCTGGTGCTTTATGAAAGCACAATTCAGCATTGTTTTGCTGCCACAGCGGATATCAACTTGCCTAGTAGGGAACAGGAGGTGTATGTCTCCTGTTATTCATAACTGTGGACCCCTCACAAATACTGAACCATGAATGCCTCCAATTCATTTAGGAGGAATAGAAGTTCTAAATCCAGAATAGAAAAATTGAAAATGATTGGGAACAGAAGGAGAGGAGTACCATATTTTTCGGAGTATAAGATGCACCAAAGTTTTGAAGAGACAAATTTTAAAAAATGGCCTCCACAAAATGGCCCGTTTTTTACAAAAACAGGCCCGTTTCCCTCCCAAAAAAGGCATGAATAGCCTTTAGGGGGCTTGCAGAGTGCTCCTGGGGGGGGGGGGTACCCCTCAAATGAGCAAAAAAAGAGCCTGTTTTTTGTAAAAAAAATTGCATGCATGGCCTTTAAGAGGCTTAAAGAGTACTCCTAGGGGCTGGAGGGGGGCAAAATTGAGCAAAAAACTGCCTGTTTTCCATTCATTTCTGCCATCCCCAGCCCCCAGGAGCTCTCTGAAAGCCTCCTGCAGGCTCTGCACAGCCATTTTGGTGAAGGGAGTGGGGCTTCCGAAGGCATAAAATGCTGTATTCAGTATATAAGACGCATCCAGATTTTCAGCCTCTTTTTTGTGGGAAAAGGGTGCATCTTATACTCTGAAAAATACGGTAACTTCATCTAAACAGCTGTAGAAGTACAGAACAGAAAAAATAATAATAAGAAAACCCTAAAATTCCAAATATTTTTTCTTACTCAAAGCACTAATACAGGTAGTGCTCGGCTTGCAACCAATTATTTGGAAGTTACATGGTCTTGAAAAAAGTCACTTCAAACCAGTCCTTGCACATGACTACATTTACTCTTCAACTTACAACAGTTCATTTAATGACTGTTCAAAGTTACAATGGCACTGAAAAAAGGGACATACGACCACTTTTCACACTTATGACCATTGCAGCATCCCCATGGTCACATGATCTACATTTGGCTGCTGTGTTTTGGGTTCATGGGATCCTCTTTCTACCACCTTCTGACAAGCAAAAGTCAATGGGGAAACTGGATTCATTTAATAACCGTGTTACTCATTTAACAACTGCAGTGATTCATTTAAAGTCGTAAAATCCATCAAAACTCAATTAACAAATTTCTCACATAAATTTGGGGCTCAATTGTGGTCTCAAGTTGAAAACTACCTGTACTGCAGCATCCCCATGGTCACGTTATAAAAATTTGGGGGCTTAACAACCAGCATGTATTTATGGGATGGTTGCAGCATCCCAAAGTCACATGATCACCATTTGCAACCTTCCCAGCTGGCTTCCAACAAGCAAAGTCAATTGGGGGTGGGTGGCGGGGAGAAGCTGGATTCTCTTAACAACTGTGTGATATACTTAACAACTGCAATGATTTGTTTCACAACCCTGGCAAAAAAGGTTATAAAAATCACATGTGACATGGTTAATAACTGCCTTGCTTAGCAAAGGAAATTCTGGTCTCGTTTGGGCTCAAGTGTGGTCATAAGTTGTGGACCACCTGTATTGTTATTCCCTCTCTACTTTCTATGGAAAACAAAGAGGAGGAAGGATTAATATCATCGAGTGACTTCACAGGCAAGAAGAGGCACTTTATGGCTCAAAGCATNATTTTTCTTCATATATAAAAAAAGACATACATACACACACTCACATTAGTTTTTAATCACCCACACAGAGGAGACAGGAAAAGAAAAAGGGATTGGGCGGGGCAGCACAAACAAACAAACAAAAACAAAAATAAAAACAGGAAGAGGAAAACTGTACATGGGGAAAGTTATGGCACCAAAAACAGAAAAAAAGATTATTAATAATTTTTTTTAGAAACATAAGGATTATTATAATACATCAAGCCCCTCCAGCCATATCCCTCCCTGTAGCCCCATTTCTCAGTCCCAGGCAGGCAGGAGAAAGAAATCACTAAATGAACATCTTGAAGTCATCGAGGATCCCCTCCTTCTCCTTCTCCTCTTCCCTCCCACCCTCCCCTCTTAAACAAAGGGGGCCTGATTCAAGTAGAAAACGGACTTGCCAAATCTGGGAGAGGGTCCTGGGGAAAAATCCACCAGACAAGTTGACAGTGGAGACAAACTTTGGGCCCAAGGATTGTGTTGGGGGGAAGGAGCACTGTGGAGATTTGGAAAAAAAGCGGGTGACGGATTTGAGAATTGTTGTTTGATTAGAGGGACAGAGGGGAGATGTGCTTTGGCTGCCTTGCACGGGGTGGGGTGGGGTGAGCAAAACTTCAGGTTCTTGTGCAAGAACAGCAAAACCTCATGAGTGTGATTCTTTAAGAAGAGGAAGAGACAGACTGTTGGCCCTTCCAAGAATCTTCTATTCTGCCATTACAGATTTGGGCTCTTCTCGTTTTGCACGTGGGATACCTTGCAAATACCTTCCAACAACTGCTCTGAATGGTTTTTAGAAGCCCACATCCTCCCTGTTTATTGGGACATGTCCCTTTCTAGGGTGCCAGCGTTATTTCCCTTCCACCCGATTTCAAAAGGTTGAGAAACTTGAAAAAGTGATTTTCTGCCAAGTGAGCAGTTTTTCTTCTCCTGCACCTAGTTAATCTGAGCCTTATTTACATAAACAGCAAACAGGGAACTGGTGAAATCCTCACTCCTGCTCACTTTAATAACTGGTCAGAGTCAACCTAGTGTAGATNGTCTGGATCTTACAGGTGTCCTGAAACTGCTTTTTAATTTGCAGTTCTTTGGACTAGGGGAGGAAGAGGAGGAAGAGGAGAAAAAGGGGGGAAACAAGAAAACAAAAACAGAACAATGCCAGTGACCAGAGGAGGGAGAAGGAGAATGGCAAATAAAGAACAAATGCGAAAGCAAGAGAAGGAGAGAGACAGACAGAGAGAGAGAGAGAGAGAGAAAGAGAGACAGGAGCATGTATTAGACAAACAATTCCCACCAGTGGGGGTTTTGGTGGGAATAAACTAAATGTAGTATTACTCAATAATTTTACCTTCTAATGTTCCCACTTAAATCAAAGTTAACATCAGTATGAAATAGCTTCAGCTCATCCAAATAGCTTTAATGGAGTGAAAAGATGCCTGGTAGCTTGATGAAAAATAACAACGTAACAGAATAGGTAGGGGTTTTGGAGGTCTTCTAGTCCAACCCCCCCTCTCCCCCTGCTCAGACAAATGGTTATCCAACATCTTCTTAAAACTTTCCAGTGTTGGAGCATTCACAACTTCTGGAGGCAATTTCTGTTCCACTGATTAATTGTTCTGACTGGCAGGAAATTTCTCCTTAGTTCTAAGTTGCTTCTCTCCTTGCTGAGTTTCTTGTCCTGCCTTCTGGTGCTCTGGAGAATCGGTTGATCCCTTCTTCCTTGGGGCAGCCCCTCAATACTGGAATGCTGCTATAATGTCATCCTTAGTCTTTCTTTTCAATAGGCTAGACATACCCAATTAAATTAGAAATACCCCAAAATGGGATTTGCCTCTGAAAGAACAATGCAGTATGCATTGGCTGACACAGCTCGTGAGGTAGGGTCTTCTTTCTGCCTAAGGAGGGTCTTCTTTCTGCCTAAGACCCCAGGAAGGATAAGTGGCACAAGGCTGCAGGGGAAAAACCAATGGAACGGGTCGATGAAGAAGCTTCATATATTCCATTGTGGGAGGATGGCTCCCTGTGGGATAACTAGGACAATGTGGACAGGAAGGGAGACTTGCTAGAAGTTCCCTACAGGCAGTCCTCGATTTACAACCTTTCGTTTAATGACCGTCACCGCATTCCCACGATCAAAATTCAAGCACTTGGCAAGCCAGCATTTACTTACAACGGTGGCAACATCCTGGGGTGATGTGATTGCCATTTGAGACCTTCCCTGCGGGTTTCTGACAAGGAAACGCCATAGGGGAAGCTGGATTCACTTAATGATCATACAATCCACTTAACAATGGCAGTGGTTTGATTTACAAATGTGGCAAAGAAAAGGTTGTAAAATCGGGTATGGCTTACTTACCAATGAAAATTCTGGCCCCAATTGTGGTCGTAAGTCAAGGACTAACTGTATTATGAACTGAGAAGCAGCTGAAGGGTTCTAGCTAGTTCTCCCCAGTGATTTTATTTCCTAGTTATCTGTATTTCACTGATGACCAGACGACAGCCAAAGATGCCTCAGCAGAGAAATTTACAAGGGGTCTGCTTGCTCAAGAGGCTTAAATCTTGAGCAAACAATCAATAAAAATGTGCCTGTTTGTTTCTTCCTGAGTTTATATTCCTGAATATAAAAGGCACAAATGAATGAGACGACAGATTCTGAACTATATCAGAAACTTTACATGCACAACTTGGAGTGTGCTAAACAACTGCACGTTGGATGTATGTGGAGATTCTCAGTCATCGGGATCACAGCTGTCTCAAAGGTGCTTTTTCAAAAGGCAACTGGACTGTTTTTTCCCTTGAGGAAGAAGTAAAAAATGTTTCGTTTCTCATCCAAGAAATTTCATCAATTCTGATGGGGGGTGGGTGGTTATGGAAGGATAGATACTGACAGTTGGGACTGGACAGTGGGGTACGGAAGGATAGGTTCTGACTAAATGGGGGGGAGGGGGTGGAAGGATTGCATTTCTTTGCAGTCATCTGGTCATTAATACTCTCCCTGAGAGCTGTTGAGGCCATTTTGGGGGTGGGGGGGTTGTTTATCTTTGTCCTCAGGATCACCTGAATCAGAGTGCAATTGGTTGTACATCACCTACCTCCAGTTTACAATGCAGCTCTTGAAGCACTTCCAAGAAGATTCCACAATTGCACCCTGATTCAGGTGACCCTAAGGGCAAAGATAAACACCCAAGTGGCCTCAATAGCTCTCAGAGAGAATACTAACAACCAGATGACTGCCTATCCTTCCACCCCCAACACCCAACATTCAGCCTCAACTGTCAGTGCCTGTCCTTCCACACACACCCATCACAACAGATGAAGTTTTTTGGGTGAGATACGAAACGTTTTGTTCTTCTTCCTCAAGGAAAAAACCATCTGGTTGCCTTTGGAAAAAGCACCTTTGAGACAACTGCATGTTGGTTTTTCTAAAAATGCCAAAGTGGAAAAAAATTCAGTGCAAATTACCATAATCTGCATAAAAATGCATCATGGCCTAAATATAGATTGTAGGTGATACTCTCAACACCCATTCCCCAATGAGCTGATGATGGCTCTTCATCTTTATCCTGCTCTGCAACAGAAAATATTCTTCATTCTCATGTTCAAGGTCGGAAAGTTTCCACAGGGTACCTTTTGAAGACTTAGCTCTGTTGGGGGGTAACTCCCAATCCACCTGCACTCATTTTAAAAATGCCCTTTTAGGCCATGTCTTCTTATCTAAACACTATTTAGGTTCCTTTCAAAATAAATGTCGGAGAAGTGGAAGGAAGGATGGGAGAGCAGGTTTCAGCATTAAGATGTCAAATGGAAATTGACATCCCATTTTGCCTAGCAAAATCCAAAAGATTATTTTTCAGTCATCGATAGAACAAACAGCTGATTTTGAGAGACAAGAGTCTGCAAGAGTGGCGAATATCTGTTGTCTCTCACTGTACAAAATGTTATGACAGACACAAACTTCATACATTTGACAAAATTGGACCTGCAGTTACCAAGGACAAGCATCATACATGATTTTTAAATCTCGGAAAAGTTCAGTTCCTTGTCTAGGCCTTTTAGCGATTTATTGTTCTGTCAGCCAGTCATGCCAAACAATTCAATACAAAATTTGAACAACCTACTAGTTTAAAATAATTTGTGAAGAATACCAACACCAGCTTTTCCAATTTGGTGTACTCTAGTTATGTGAACTACAGCCCCCATGATCCATGCTAAATTGGCCACAAGGAAAACACAAAGGGAAGGAAGGCATTTTGAGCAAAAATTGATACATCAGGCAGGAATCCACCTGACTATCACAAAATGTGATGCAAGGAGTGGGGTTAGTCCAAATTACATGTTTTTTTTCCCCTTTATAAGTTATGTTTCCAATTATGGTGTGAGTTTATGGAGAAGTGAACTTTTGAGCTGCCAAGGAAATGCTATTCTTTTTTTAATTTAAACTAAGTCTAATTCACCCCAAAGCTCATATTGATGAGCAAAATGTTTATTTCCTTGCATATCTGATGACATCCCTTATATCTAAACCCACTCAATTATCTGTAATTTATGCTAAACTTCAAGAGTATTCTTTTCATGGCTACAATCTTTCATCACTCTTTGGACAACATTTAAAATGACCCCAAACCACAAATGGTGTAGAAAAAAACCTGTCTAAATTATACATTTTTCACCTTTGTATGTTATTTTAATTCATTTCATGAACACCTCATACACTTGAGAGGTCATAGACAGAAAGAGGTACTAGGAATTAAGATAATAGTGGGATGTGGAAGAACATAACTCCAGTTACACCCTCCAAATAATTTACTTTTGGAAATCTAAAAGTACATCACTTGAGGATGTTTTTGGCACAGAGTGCATGAAAATAGACAGATAGCCCTGTTTTTAAGCTTAAGTGCCCTATTTTCTTAAAAATCAAATCACATCAAACTCAAAACTCACAATACAGAGGTGGTAAATTGTGGTGCAGAATTTTTATTTCTTTTTCCTTCAAAATTTCACATGCATCCACAACAGGGAAGGGAGAAATAAATAAACCATAGAAGAATGTCCCCCGCCACATGAAATGGGAGAAATAAATTAAAAATTATTTAACATAGCTTTTTTTAAATGTGAAGATAGAGGAAAAAAAACATAGTTCAAACACACAAAAATGGGTATACAAAATACATTATTAAAATGGATAAAATAGAATCTAGATTAATAAAAACAAGCTTGGCCAAAAAAAAAAAAAGGTTAAGAGGAATGCTAAAAAATACACAAATCCACAGATGTTGCAAAACTGAAATAAATTTAAAAAATCATAGGTGAACCAAAAAAGGGAGAAATACAAGGTATGTGCTTTATGCAAACATGGGACCAAAAGCCAGAATCAATGAACATGGAATTATATCTAATTTAGGATAATCTGAAATGAATTGATGGGTGGATTTGAAAATTGGGAGGAGGGAACTGGACTAACTACAACATGAATGAATATAAGGAACTGAAAAAAAAATGGAAATGCACAGAAGTAACTGTTTAAAAATATTCTACCAAATTAAATAGAAATGAAGACTGCTTCAAACTGATTTAATTCTATAAAACATGGTATTGCCTGCAGCTGATAAAGAACTCGAAAGATAAAACTCTTAGCAAAGCCAATTTTTTAAAATTAACTGCTACTGCAACAAACAGGATTTATTGTCAAAGTCGGAGAATTCAGGATCACACTGTTTGTTGTCAGTCACATAAACATCCTGAGTGGATTAAAAAAAATATGGATTCTGTGATGATATATGTTTATATAGAATTCACTGGACTTTTGGTTTTGTTCCCTATCAAATAAATAAAACCTTTAAAAGCTAGTTATCCAACAAAATAATTAATGCAAACTGAACTGGATTTTATACAGCAGCTTCCCCTTATTCTTTTGACAAAGTCATCCCAATGCAGAGGATTTCAGAATGTCACAATTAAAATGGATCAAGATACTGGAGATAAAAAATGGGGTAGGCTGTGATAAGAAACCTGCTCAAAGATAAAGAAGGAAAAACAGTTGGAGCCATATAGGGAAGCAGCACAAGCATTTGGGTTTTCCAGAACTCTCTAACCTGGCTATTTACTGGATGAAAACAAATAGGATTTTCCTCCCAGGGTGACAGGGTCACCAGGAGCAAGCTAGAGGGAACTGGGGACAAGCATGTCACACTAGCCAGGGAGACTTGTGTTCACCCTAAAGCTTAAGGAAATGGTTACTGGAAATGATAGGGTAGCAGAGTTTAAAAGAAGTATAAAAAGTGAAGAAAAGGGGGGGGGGCTGTGATATTATGAGGCAGTTACCCCATTCTTTGGTGGATAAAAGCATAGCTGGTCCCTGGAAAACAAAAATGGAACATTATAGTTTGGAGATCCACCCTTGCACTTTAGAGATGGTCTAGGGCAGTGGTGTCAAACTCGTGGCCCGCGAGCCGGATGCGTCACTTGCTGGCCCCGACCCCGCCCAGTTTAGTAAAGGGAGAAAAAGTCCAGATATGTCACATGACGCAGCCTGATGCCACGAGTCTGACACCCATTGTCTAGGGTTTCCAGTTTTGTAAAAAAATAAAATAAAAATAAAAATGAAAAGGCTGCTCTCCTGCCAAACCACACTGGGGGAAGCATTAAAAGGCAAAACAACTTTGGTTTATATTTAACTTAAAAGAGGTTGCCTATGCCTTGGCTGCAGAGTCCAAAGCACATAGAAACATAATATATATATATATATATTTGGTGTTGTTTTTTTTCTTCGACCAAAATGCAACAGCCTACACTAAAACAAACCACTACAATGCCAAGCCATTCATTTCAAATGCCAGCGTGTGGTTTTTCATTTAAAAAAGGAAGAAAGAAAAAAAAGCTACTGGATGGCCAATTACTGTTTTAAGTGGAAAAAATGTACAGCAATAAGCTGTCATTTTATGAATTTCTCCCATTTTCAGTCGAATTGTATTGTTTAAAAATTCTGTTTGCCCTCCTTTCCTCCCTCCACAAAAAATTATATAAAGCTTACCAACCTACCCACAAACAAATACAAATATGTACATTCAAGTTCAAACTTTTAAAAAGGGGGATTGTTACAAATATGGTGAAAAATGATAAATATATGTATGTGTGTGTAAACATGCACACACACATACCAAAGGTGGAAGTATATACGAACGGCGAAAGAATCACTTAAACTAGGCAAACACTCAGGAGCTGAAGGTCTTGGTTTTTAAAAAGATGTTTAATTTCTCAAGATTTCATAAGGAGGTTCTTTCTCTGTGGCAGATGAAGAACTAGTGTATTTTAGCATGAATTGGAACTCAAAGCTTTTCAGAAGATAAAAATGGCTTGAAATGAAGACACTTATGTATCTCCTCACTGTGCAAGAGATGCTGAAGATGGAAAAAGCAGCCATTACTGGATATTTTAAATAGGGGTTATTGGAAAGAATTTTAAGAACATTATTATTATTATTTTGGCAAACATGGGGCTCAACACCTTATCCCAGATGATGGAAATAGGAAATATTTGGTCCTCCCAAATAGCTGATTCAAAGGGGCCTCGGGTGATTCTTTCCTCGTTGACACAATGAGCACAAGACAAAACCTCCTGTCCACACCCAATATGTAAACAATCAGAGCTTGCACAAACATTTGGTTCTCTGCTCTGCCCATATTAAAGCTTCTTTTACCAAACGCATCCTGCCCAGAACCTCCTGGTAAGAAGGCAGCAAAACATCAACAAACCTTGGAGAAAAAAAAATTGCTTTTGAGAGTAAATACTGAAAAAGGGCTTCGGTCTGATTCCCCAGAATTCTAGAAGCTGG